AACAAGATATTGCACTGAAAATACTGGCACATGCACGCACTCAGATGTACAAAGATATTAATGACAATAAATGTCATTAACAATACAAGTTCAGAAACAAATCTGAATGCCCATCAGTAGGAAACTGTTCATGAAGGTCAGGGTGGCCACACAACAGCATTCCATGCTGCTAACATGGTGTCTGACTAACCTGATGACTCATCACCAGGGCCGGCTGCCTGGTACCGGGGGGAAACTGTGGGCTCGCCCCAGAGTGAGGCAGGCTTGGGTTGGAATCCAGGGCCTAATAAGGCCCTTCTCTCTTTCACTCATTTTTCTATATCTGATAAACAAAAAAGGGGAAGGTTGTCGTGATATGCATATAGCAGGGAAAATAGAGCCTGGTACGCTGTGGGCCCAGCATCAGTGCCAGGTCTCTCCTTTCCCCTTTTCAAGCCACTCCCACCAAGGGTTGCCCGAATGTAGAACCAGAAATGGAAGGTGATACCGCGTTGAGGAATTCAGGTTAGCAAAACGGATGATGGCCCGAGAGGAAGCAGCAGAAAGGGACACTGAAAGATATAATCCAGGGATGGTCTGTCGTGTGTATCTTCATTAAACACTCACTGATAAAAGCAAAATTCTGAGATGTTCTAAATTTAATGACCAAAGCCAGGCATGGTGGTGCGTGCCTATAATCCCAGCACTCGAGAGGCTGAGGCAGGAGGATCGCTGTGAGTTGAGACAAGCCTCGGCTACAAAGTGAGCTTAAGGCCAGCTCGAACTGCATAGGGAGTCCCTGTCTCAAAAAAAGCCATAAACAAATAAATAAATTTAATGACTGGCAGATGTAAGAGAGATGGGGGAGGTCAATCAGTTAACAGTTAAGGGCCAGAACCAACAAGACTACTTTGCATTCTTGAATATATGTTGAAACTTTCACTCAAATCCCATCCTGACCATATCCGGGTTATAAAACCAGTGATCCAACAAGAACTTCCCCAAACTGCTTCCCTTTACATTACCTCACCCCTCATCTACAGCCAATGTAAATTCAATAGAAACAATTTATGCTTTCCTTCTCCAAGTTTTCGTTATAAAAATACTCTTAGCTCTAGTCCAGCACGTATTTTTCCAACTATTATCTAACCTGACTGCTGGAAGCGTTGGGAACTCAGCCCAGGACCTAGTCCTTTTTTTTTGCCTAGCATCCCTAGTGGCTCAATGCATACTCACATTTCAAATCCCCTGGTCTCAAGAGTTCTGGTTTAACACCACAATCTCTCAGAAGAATCTGTAAACAACAGAACATAAATCAGTCTGTGTGACTGTGTTGCTGGCTAGTTTGGGTTTTTGCTTTAATAGAAATGGAAATTATAACTGAAGCATCAATTTATAGGAAAAAGGCTTTAATTGGAATGGGAGAGGGAAGACAGAAAAAGAAGAGACACACACAGTCTGCTACAGGGGTTCAGCCTGGCCCACTTGCAAAAGCAGTTTTTTGTTTGTTTGTTTTTTTGAGACAGGGCCTCACTATGCAGTTCAGTCTCACTTTGTAGCCCAGGCTGGTCTCGAACTCACAACGATCCTCCTGCCTCAGCCTCCCAAGTGCTGGGACTACAGGCATGCGCCACCACGCCCCAAAGCAGCTTTTAAGGATTGAATAGGAACCAGTTTATCATCATCTCAGTCCTGGTGTCACAGTTCTGCAATCTTCATGGCTGAGGGATGGTTTTGTTCCCAGGTAATGATGGTCTCTGTGGTGGTCTGTCATGTAGGGCTCCACCTTTCTGGGAATCTAAGTGATCTCAGGTGTGGCTGGAGGCTCCTGGGTGTAGCTGAATCTCTCGTAAGCCTTTTATCTTGGTGTCCTCAGTTTTGAAGGCGGCAGGGGTGAAGTCTTTATTTATTTTTGAGACAGAGTCTCACTATGCAATTCAGGCTGCCTTGAGCTCACTTTGTAGCTTAGGCTGGTCTCGAACTTGCAATGATCCTCCTGCCTCAGCCTCCCAAGTCCTGGGATTACAGGTGTGCACCACCACACCTAGCAAAGAGTGAAGTCTTGTAAACTCAGGGCTAAGCAACTCTTTAAGGCCAGCTCTGTCAAATTAATAATCCATTTCTGTCCAGGGTGAACAGGTCCCGAGAATGAGGTACTGCAGATGAATAGAAAAGTAAGAGGAAGGGGCTGGGGATTTAGCTCAGAGGCAAAAGCGCCTGCCTGGCAAGCGCGAGGTCGTGAGTTCGGTTCCCGGTACCGGAGAAAAACAAAAAAACAAAAAACAAAAAAAAAAGAAAAGTAAGAGAAAAAAGAAAATCAAGAGAGGCAAAATTCTGGGATCAGGGTGCTAGCAGCCTATAGGACTGAAGCCCCGATTACTCATTTGAGTGACTCTTTATTCAGAAAGAACAAAAGCAGCAGCAGTACAAATGGGAGGATCTCAACTGATTTAGCAAGGACAATAAATAAGACTTGACTAGTTAGCCATCATGTTATCATTCCTTTGGGCATATCTCAGCAAAGCACTTAGCTTTCCACGTTTTTGCTAGACTTCCTCCAGAACCCAAGAATCATGGCTTGGTCAGGCCTGAGGCAATACAGTGAAAAAGTAACTAAAGAATGTCCTTTTCTACACAGCTCCCGGACAGGCATTCCCTAAATGATCAGTATACCACTATACAGAGCTGAGAAGAGATTCGACCCACACTTACAGCATCAAAGGATACAAAATGAAAATCAAACTTCGTTCTGCTTTTAGTTACTTAACAGTAATCTGCACGCCCAAGTGAAGAGTCATGGTTTATAGCAAAATTAACTTTTCAGTCCCTGACTGCGCCAGAAGAAAATACAAACCATGCTGTTAATGAACAGCAAGTAAGGCCCCAGGATTCAGCCTGTCCCCCACCCCCACTGGCCCCCGACTGTGACATGATTGTGTCAACTGCCCTTTTCACCTAGCTTTTGGCAGCCTGGACAAACAGTTCTGTCTGGCACTTGGGGGGAAGGGAGATAGCAGCAATGATGAGGCCGGGGAGAAAGCAGCTCTCAGTCAACCACTATCATCACGTGCAGACCACAATATGATGACACAGCGCTAATGTGCACCAGGCACTTCCACCCACTTAACCCCGACAGCCACGCTGTCAGGTGCCACTGTCTCCATTTCACAAATGGGGACTTACAGGTAAAGAGCATTAAGGAACACGGCCAAGGTCTGCACTATTTATTCTCTGAACTCCGCTGCTTTGCTATAACAGCTCCAGAAAGAAAGCAGGAACTAATGCTTTAGGGAAAGAAACCGGAGACCAGAGGAGGAGGCTCACTTTCATTCTTTCATCATCTTTTTGGTGCTTAAATTAAATCAGTATTGCTGGGGATTTAGCTCAGCGGCACAGCGCTTGCCTGGCAAGCACGAGGTAGTGAGTTCGATTCCCGGTACCAGAAGAAAAAAAAGAAAAAAAAAAAAAGTTCCAGGGCTGGGGATTTAGCTCAGCGGCCAGCGCCTGCCTGGCAAAAGCAAGGTCGTGAGTTCGATTCCCGGTACCGGGAAAAAAAAAAAAAAAAAAACCACAGTACGTGCACAAAGTACCTGTTCAAATAACATTCGTTTATTTATTCATAGTTCTGGAGTTTGAACCCAAGGCATTCTCTCCGTGCGGCTGCTTCAGCCCCTTTTCCCCGTTTAAACTTTTTGTGTATGTGCTGCCAAAGCGAGCACTTTAACTTTTTGAAACAGGGTCTCCTTAAGTCACTGAGTTGCTCAGGCTGGGCTCCACTGTGCGATCCTCCTGCCTCGGTCTCCTAGAGTGATGCGATTACAGGCATTGTAATATAATTGAAGAAAACGTTACGATTTCAAATGAAAAGCGGGAAATTTCCACGCACTCTGCTCTAGCAACCACCGTCCCCAGCTACCGCAGTATTGGATTGCGCATGCGCCCCTGCAGGCCACGCCCCTGCCCGGGAGTCCGCAGGGCTCTGCCCGCGGGCTTTTGAATTTTTGGAGCTTGAGTGGACGCCTCTCACCGCGGAGGCGGAAGGATTTATATCGTAGTCCTGGCCCCGACTGGGCCGCGAGTCCCCGAGCCTTCAGAATCTGACCCGCCCACCTCTACCGTCCCATCCCACACCCCTGGAGGGGGAGACCCTCAGTCCAAACCTGAACCTTTCTCCTGGATACCTCGCTGTCTTTGCTTAGCTGTTCTCCTCGCCTGCCCGACCTCGCGCTCTTTCCTAAGTGATCTGAGCCCCTCGCCTTTTCCCTCCACAGACCAGGTTCCTTTCCAGGGCGCACTAGGTGTAAATCATTCCAGAACACTCAGCACAGGACACTAGAACTATTCCCCGCCGCTCCAGCCCACCACACCCCGCCAACACCACTGAAGAAGCGGGCTTCGAACTAGAAATCTGCTATTCCCCGCTTCCGCTTTCCCCACCTCCTCACCCCCTTGCGGACAAGACGCGCACGCTCTTTGTCTTCTGCGGCCCGCTCCCGCCGCCGACCCGTAATCCGCATGCGTGCTACAAACCTAACACTTCCATCAACGCATGCTCAGCCTAAGCCATTTGCGGGACTAGCCCGCGGCGCATGCGCAAAGCCAGCAGCCGGCGGGACCTGATTTCAGCTTGGCCTCGCGATACCTCCTCCTCCTCCTCCTCTTCCTGTCTGAGGCTGGAAGGTGCCTCTTCCGGGACGCCCAGGCCAGTTCTGTACTAGTCGGTGTGCGTTTTTTCTGTGTCCTTCTCACACCCTCGATCCCCAGCCACTATTTACTAGCTGGTGGCTTGTTGTGGAACTTCCCTGCCCCCACCTCATCCAGTCGCAGAGAGAGAGCGCGCGTCCCGCCCCAGGAGCCAATCAGCAGTCGCCTTAGGTAAGGCGCGAGCCCGCGCGAAGGACGTGCGGTGGGGGCGGGGCTTGGGGAGGCGGGGCGCGCCACAAGTCCCGCCCCTTCCGCGACCGCGCTCCACCGGTCCATGGGAGGCGTGTGCGGCTGGGTAGGGAGCCGGGGCTGCGGGTTAGCCAGAGGTTGGCCGGTCGGGGTAGGGGCGACAGTAATGGATAAGTAGAAATCAGCTGGGAGTTCGTAATAAGCAGAGCCTAAAAGGGCGCCCTGAAAGGACTGAGAAAGCCCTTCTACTTGCATGTCAAGCTTAACTTCCAGGAGATTGTGGGCGGCCCTCCAAGTAAGGAAACCTGAGTTGCGGGGAGGCTTTCTAAACCGAACCTGCAAATGCATGTTGAAGTACTAGTGAGCCCCTAGAAACAGGTGTGAACAGGTTATTGTGAAGTTCCGGGGTGGCAGGGGCCCCAAGAGGATAGATGGAAATACAGCTGGAAATTGGGAGCTCCCTGAATAACTTGAAAGTAGATGCTTTGGCTCTGGAAGGTCCCCCGAAGGGAATGTGTGAAGAGATGCTATAAGTACTGAAAAAGGCCCCCAAAGAATGGGTAAATTAGACTCCTCCTGGGAGGTCACTACAGGAGCCCTGTGAATAGACACGAAATAGGCTGGCTGAGTTTGGGAGATCCCCAAAGGAGCCTGGAAACAGCAGTGGGGTACCCAGATTGTATATAGATGAGTGCTCCCTCAGGGCTGTTAAACAGACTCACAGTACTGTGGCTAGTCTCAGAGTAATCAGAAGTGGACACTTATTTGCCAGGAAAGGGATCCTCCTAGGTACCTGAACAGACACTGGTGCTGGGGCAGAGTCCCCGGTGGGGGTGAAGACAGACACTTAAGCACTGGGGAGGTTTCCAGAATAACGTGGAAACAGACACTTAATTGCAGGGGAGGAAAGAGTCTCGAGTTCTGGGGAGATGGCCTTTGGAGACTGTAAACAGTCATTTAAGTGCTGAATGAATCATCTTCCATAAACAGGCCCTTGCCCTCCTCTGTCTAGGAAGGCCATCTTCATCCCCGTTTGTGGCTGGGGAGAGGTCACTTAGCCCAGCGAGAGGGGCTAGACAAGCAGAGTTGTTCCTGCATCCTGTAAATAGATACGTTAGTTTTGGAGTGTCTGTCACTGGGGCCTATTGATGTCGTCACTGAGGTTGCGCAGGGAAGGATTCATAGTGACTGCTCTTACGAGCTAAGTGTGGCTGAACAAACGCTCTTAAAGGACAGTTGTGCTAAGCTCTGCGGAACACATTGCCTCTGTCTCGATACTCACCTTTGCCCTTGTATCAAGGAGGAGGCCGTAGACATTTTGTAAACTGATAGCTGTGGCTGTGTTCCAAAGAGACACTGTGTTTAGAAAAACAGGACACAGACCCTATTTGTCCCAGTAGCCACAGTTTGCCAGCCTGACCGCTGAGCTGGGGCAGATAGCCCCATACGGTCTCCCGAGGGACCCGTCAACCAGTACTTAAATGGTAAAGCTGGTCCACTATCTTACAGGACATCTTAATGAACACTGAGAGCTCTAAAGGAAGTGAAATTTGGAAAGAGGGATGGCAGACCCTCAGGCTGGAAAGTAAACAAACTGAAATTTAGATACCAGCTTCCGTTAGGGCCCGAGAATGCTGGAGCCCCAGCCCCGTGTGTACCAGTATTGAGTGACCAAAAGGCGTAGTTCTGAGGAGCTCGTTAGTGATTTGTAAGGAAATGATTTGCTGCGTTTGGTTGTTGGGGGTTTTTTTGGTACCGGGAATCAAACTGAGGACCTCGTGTTCGCCAGGCAGGCGCTGTGCCACGGAGCTATCCCCAGCCCAACTTGCTGCATTTGGGGAGGGAGAATATCCCCGTATGAATCTGCCCTATGAGTTGTGCTGCTGTTGGAGCATTTCAGTAGTTAGAGATAGTTTTGGTGACAAGAAAGAGAAATATGTTTGCTTCTCGCTGCCTCCAGAGGTTAGTATGGGGCTGCTGAAGCTTCTGTCCTGCTGTACCATGCTGTCCATCAAGTGGCCTTGTGGCCCCAAGTGGCTGCCTGAATGTCACCCTCCACACGCACGTGCCTTCCAGCCAGGAGAAGGAAAAGACGCACACTAGCCTCTGTACAGGACAGTTTCTGAAAGCTGCCAAACCACACTTCTGGTATATCATTGGCCAGAAAGTGTGTATAGTCATGTGGCCCCACCTAACTGCACACAGAACTGAGAAGTGTGTTTGGGACAGCCATGGAGCACAGGACTGGGTTTTACTCTTCTCAGAGGAGTAGGCAGTGCCCAGAGAGAGCCAGTTGGCAGCTGCCGGCCAGCCACAGAGCTCGCTTGGAGGGCAGTGCCTCCGTACAGTCCAGGGGCAGCCAAGTGGAGTGGAAAGAGACTCTCTACCTGAAATCCCCTCGTCTCTCCTGCAGGCCACCATGTCTGAGTCGGGGCACAGCCAGCCTGGGCTCTACGGGATAGAGCGGCGCCGGCGGTGGAAGGAGCCCGGCTCTGGGGGCCCCCAGAATCTCTCGGGGCCTGGCGGTCGGGAGAGAGACTACATCGCACCGTGGGAAAGAGAAAGACGGGTGAGTGGCCTCACGAGCAGCATACCTGTTTCTCGTTGTCCCACGAATGTTGCTTGAACACCTGCTGTGTGCCAGGATTTGAGGATGGATCTCGAAACAAAGCTGTGAAGTGAGAAGGTGGAGAAGAGGAAGGGGGTTGTTTTAGATAACATGGTGAGAAGACCTCTCTGAAAAGGGAGTGACTTTTGAAAGGAGACTGAAGGAGGTGAGGGAGGAAACCACGTCAGAATCTGACTTGACGAGCATTCCACATGGCAAGAACAGCCCTTGCAAAGGCCCTGGGGCAGCCCATGTCTGCGGTGTTCTTGGAGGCCAGTCTGCTCAGTGGATGCAGAAGGAGGGAGACTGGGAGGGTCTGAGATCAGAGCGGTAACAGGTTGGGTCCTGTGGGGCCTGGCTTTCATGCTGAGTGCGGCTGGCGTTGGATGGTCTGAGCTGAGAGGTACCCGTCTTAGAGCCGTGCGACAGTAGCAGTGGCACCGTTACTGAGGAGCGGGCCATGTGCTCTGCAAAGTGCTTCCCGCCCTGGGCGTCTTTCTGAACCCATACACTCCCCTCACGAAGTAGAGAGACCCAGTGTTCACTAATGAGGGCTGTGAGTCCCGAGGTGAAGGGGGCTAAGCCGGAGTCAGAGGGCTTTGGGCCGCGCTCAGGTCCTGATCCAGGTCCAGGCCCAGCGCCATGTCCAGGCCCTAGTCATTCTGCCTAGTCAGTGCCCTGCCCTGGCCTGGGCCTCGGGAGGTCCGGGTTTGTGCCGTGGCCCTTCCTTGCTCCTGCCCCCGGCTCTTTCCCTGGGCGCTGCCCCCTCAGACACTCGGCAGGGTAGAAGGAAAGAACACTTGGAGCCAGTTTCTGAGCTGTAAAACTACAAACCCAAGACCGATGCTTTCGCTGTGAGCTGGGCTCCTGCTGCTTCCTTCTCGGGACTGTACAGCAGCGCACATGGGCTCTTCCACGCATGTCCTCTTGGGGAGCGCTCCCCTCATCCTGCCCCATCAGCCCTGCTCCCTGCACACGCAGCTCCCAAATCCCTTCTTGGTCCCAGGCTTGGCTGCCTTGCCGCAGCTGCTGCCTCTGGCCCTGTGCACTGCAGTACCCCCAACTGGGCCTCATCCCGGACGCATCTCCCCGCCCTGATCCCCGTGCTGGGCGTGCGCAGGGCTGGGCATCAGCCGTCAGAGCATCCTGCCCGTCACCTCCACCCTCACGGATCGCTACGCCTCCTGCAGCCCCGCAGCCCCTCCCTCGAAGCGCTCCCCTCTTCGGAGCACTTGGTCCTGCCTTTTGTGTGCCTTCACTGTGAGTGAGGGAGTGACGTGGGCGGGGTGCAGGTGAAGATCTCGGTCTGTGGGGGGAGAGGCAGACCCAGGGAAGAGGAACAGGATCTGAACCAAGGTCTCTCTGTGCTCGTAAGATCGGGGGTGAGCCAGGGGGGCTGGAAGCGGGCAGCACGTGAGACTCTGGCTGCCAGCTTGCTGGGCAGGGGCAGGTCAGAAGGGCCTGGGGTGGCAGGTGCTCGGCTGCTCTCCCATGGTGCTTCCGGCCTCAGGTGCCACTCTGGCCACTCGCTGGTTCTGGCTCCTGTCGTCTTGTACCCATCCTGTGAAGAAGGAGCTCCTGTCCCTACGCACCAGAGAACAAAACCAAAGCATCAGAGAGGCGGCTCCTTACCCAAGTCCACCCAGCCAGCAAGAGGCAGGGCCGGGCTGAAACCTAGATCTGTCCAGCTGCACGGGCCCAGCTGCTTCCTCCCTGGACGGCTCTAGGGAGCAGCCGATCAGAAGCGGGGAGGAGAGGATTCTGGAGCCAGACCGCCTGGGCTCACACCCCGGCTCCATTGCTTATCGACTGTGTGACTTTGAGGAAGCCACTTCCCCTCGCTGTGCCTCAGTTTTTTCCTTTGGTAAAATGGGAGTAAACGGGAGTCTCGCAGGGTGGTTGTAGGGTTGAGGGAATCACATGGAGGCTTTTAAAGTAGAACCTGCCACATAGCCGCCATCTGCATGTCCCGGAGAGCCAGGGGACAGTCCTGAGTAACCGTCTCCCTCCCTCCCTCAGGATGGTAGCGAAGAGACCAGCACGGCAGTCATGCAGAAAACTCCCATCATCCTCTCGAAACCTCCAGCGGAGCGGGTGAGTGGCAGGAGGAGGAGGGCAGCGGGCAGGGAAGGGGTCTCCTCCACAGGCTGAACCCTCTTCCTCCCATAGTCTAAGCAGCCGCCACCCCCAGCTGCCCCTGCCGCGCCTCCCACTCCAGCCCCTCTGGAGAAGCCCATCGTCCTCATGAAGCCGAGGGAGGAGGGGAAGGGCCCGGCAGCTGGGACAGGCGCTTCCACCCCCGAGGGCACGGCCCCGCCACCTCCTGCAGCCCCTGCACCACCCAAGGGCGAGAAGGAAGGACAGAGACCCACACAGCCCGTCTACCAGATCCAGAACAGGGGCATGGGCACGGCCGCGCCCACAGCCATGGACCGTGAGTTGGGGCTGGGCAGGCTGGGCCAGACGGGCTTGGGAGTGACGTCCGCTCTACCCAGACCCTCACCCTCTTTCTCCTCCTCCCTCCTGTCCAGCCGTCGTGGGCCAGGCCAAACTGCTGCCCCCAGAGCGCATGAAGCACAGCATCAAGTTGGTGGATGACCAGATGAATTGGTGCGACAGCGCCATTGAGGTACGGGGTCCCTTCCTGAGCTTCGCAGGGGCCTTTAGCAGGCCTTTCCCCGTCAGCCCGCTTCCGGGCAGCTGCAACAGTGAGGGCTGGAATCAGTTCTCACCTAACAGGGCTAGTTTCGTCCAGCTCAGCTCTGCTGTGTGCAGCATCCTGAAGTATGCAAGAGCCCTCACTGCTGCCCCAGGTGCCTGGGATCTCTGCACCATCTCCTGGCAGAGTCCTCTGGACCCTACCGATCGGGTCAAAACCCTTCAGTGTTAACTGCTGTCATTCCCACTCCCCGGAGGTGCCTGGTCCCTGCAGCCTCTGCTGTGGTCCAGACCTCACGGGCCTGGCCCAGGGTACCTGCCTCCCCTCTTGGCCGCCTTTTCTCCCCACACCTGTCATGTCACACTTCTGCTCAGGTCCCCCAGGGTGTCCCCTCCTCCCCCAGCAGCCTGACCTTAAGACCTCTGGGCCTGTGTGTTGCCTGGCTCCTGCCCCCTCTGTGTTCCCTGTGTCATAGATCTTTCTGCTGTGATGACAGAATTCTGTGTGTGCTGTCTGGTGTTGTGGTCACTGCCCGCGTATCGGGCTGTACAACTAAAGATTTTAAATTCTAGCTTTAGTTAATATAAATAGATAGCCACACGAGATCTGTGCCTACCATACTGAACAGGGGCTGCTCTTCTGTTTTAAGGTTTTAAACCTCTTTAAAGTTTGATGAGCCCAAGGTTTTTTTGTTTTTTGTTTTTTGTTTTTAAAAGCTTTTCTGGCAGTTCTGAGGCACAGCAGTTTAGGGCAGAGCTGCTTGCCCTTGAAGAGTGTCTCTTTTGCCCCCTGGTGGTAAAAGTCGGCAATGCCGGTAGCCCAGAGGTAGAGGTCTCAGGAAAGCCTCTAGGGGCTCTTAAACCCCACACCAGAGCGGAGATGTTCTGATGTGCCCTGTGCACGCCACTCCCTTTGTTGTGCGTTCCCTTGCTTTCCCAGCCTGCCGGAGCAGGAGTCCGCTGCAGCAGCCCTTAGAGACTGCATCTTCTGTTCCTGGGCCCCACACTCCCTTCTGCAGGGTCAGCCTCCTCGTCCGTGCTGTGATCCAAGCACTCTGACTTCCTCCTTCTTTTAGTTTCTTGACCGTCCCGGGCTCCTTTCTACGTCAGAGCTCTCACAGATGCTGATCTTGGCGCTCAGAACATTCCACATAACCCCACTATGACACAGACAGGAAAGAGGCCCTTTGCCCAGATGAGAAGTTTTTTCTCCTATCTGATAAAGCAGGTGTGCCAGCCACAAAGTCTCTGGGGTGCGCCCCAGCCCCCGACCCCTGACAGATTTGTCAGACTCGCGTTCCTCCGTCTTCCCACAGTACCTGCTGGATCAGACTGACGTGTTGGTGGTTGGCGTCCTGGGCCTGCAGGGCACAGGCAAGTCCATGGTGATGTCGTTGTTGTCAGCCAACACTCCCGAGGAAGACCAGAGGTGAGGGGGCATCAGGTCCAGGTGCAGGAGGCCAGCAGGGAGGTGGGCGCTGGCTGGGGCAGGGGCAGGGTAGCCCGGGCGTTCTAAGTGCTATTACCAAGGGCTTCTGGGAGCTGTGTCTCCTCCCTGGGGCTCAGTTCTCTGTTGGGTGAGGGTGGGTATGAGCCGGACTAAGTACGTGTGGCGCCAAGACCACCTGTGTCGCTCTTTCTCCTCCCTCCCTGCCCTGCCCGGGAAATGGCCTGGAGCCCAGCGGGGAAGCTGGCTGATAAAGTCATTAAGGCTTTGGGTTCAGGCCCACCTCAGGCTCAGTCCTGCTATCACCAGCTGCTTGCCCTGGGCCAGGACGTTTCACCTCCCAGTGTCACAGAGTGAGGTGGATTTTTAGAAGATAAAGCAAGATCAAGAAGGCAAAAATTTACTGGCACCTGGCATAGAGCCTAGATGCTCATGGGGTGATGGCTGATAGGATCTGGGAAATAAAGTGGGAAAGAGAACTGGATACAAGGAGTGGGTCTTATACCAGCTTCAGTCCTACTGTGTTAGCTTGGGAAAATGGCTGTACCTCCCTGGCCTGGAGAGGATGAGGCATGAGGATTCCCTGGCCTAAACAATATTCTTTAGTAAGGATGGAGTTAATTACAAAATCCGAAGTGAATTTGGGGAAAGGAAGAACTTAAGTAGGACCTGTACCCGGGTATAGTGGCACACACCTGTAATCCCAGCACTGAGGAGACTGAGGCAGGAGGATTGCCATCAGTTCAAGGCCAGCCTGGGCTACTTAGCAGGACCCTGTCTCAAAACAAACAAAAGATATAGGTCCTGAAACGGGGCAGAAAAGGGATGGGAGAAAGAGACACAAGGATTAGGGAGTCGGGGAGATACACAGCCTAACTAAGGAGGACGCAGAATCAGGGATGAGGAGGGAACACAGCCTCTTGGGGTAGTGAGGAACAGAGTCTTAGTCAGACTCAACCCTCACGGTGTACGCAGAACGTTATGCACATCTGCATTTGGGCTTTCTGTCTAGGGGAAGGATCCAGTTTTCAGCAGCTGGGGTGGGGCGCCAGTGAAGGCCCAGAGACGGTTAGAGCCACGTTGTGAGAATACCGTCCTCCGGAGCCGAGCTGCAAGACTGCTGTAGCCCTCTCCCGGGTTGGCTCCTGCCACGTCTTCTGTGCTCCCCGACTTCAGCTCAGCCGGACTGCGCTTCGGACCGCTCCGGCTCGTAGTGTTCTTTCCACGCCAGCCTGCAGTACGGTGGACTTCGGCCCTACTCTCTCCGTCGGTCTCATTGGCCGTACCTCCTCTGCTTAACTCATCTGTCCCTCCCCTCCTTCATTCCCTCCTCCTTGGTCCAAGCCTTGTTGAATGCCAGGAGCCTCCTGTGTGGACTCTCTTAGGTTTTGGTTTTTTTGAAACAGGGTCTCGCTATGCAGTTCAGTCTGGCCCTTGAGCTCACTTTGTAGCCCAGGCGGGTGTCAAACTCACAGTAATCTTCCTGCCTCAGCCTCCCAAGTGCCAGGATTATAGGCGTGTCTTGGTTTAATTCAACAAGAATTTATTGAGTGCTTAGTACGTGTCGGGCCCTGTTCTTGGTGGTAGGCATGACAATATCCAAAATTGACGAAAACATGTCCTCGCGGTGCTCACGTTCTTACAGGGGAGAGGTAAACAAATCAGCCCTTATTTAGCATGTTACAAGATGAAAACAAAAGGGAGCAAGTTGCAGGGAGGCGGTGTCGGGCCTGAGTTACAGTTTCATACAGGGCGGTCGGGGAGGGCCTGGACCAGGAGACGGTGGAGCAAAACAGATGGAGGAGAGGAGCGTTTCAGGGTGCGGGCGGGCACAGGCCACGCCTCTGAGCGGGGAGCTGCCCTGGAATTGCGAGGACTCAGCACTGCAGCCGAGCAACAGAAGAGGGGTCGGTAGCTCAGTGGTAGCGTGTTTGCCTGCTCTGCACAGAGCCCTGGTTTTGATCCCGTGCGTGCGTGTGTGCGTGCGTGTGTGTGTCTCTCACGCATGCACACACGCACGCACGCACAGAACACACTGGAGTCAAAGGAAGAGATGAGGTCAGAGAACGAAGGGGGCCGGGCCACACGGTGCTGGGCCTCGTGAGCTGTTCTCCCGTCTCTCCACCCTGCATTCCTTGTCGCACGGCAGCAAAGAGAGCTTTTCAAAACAAAACCTGTTCTGCCAGCACTGTGCATTGTCAGGGCCTTTTCCAGGCTTGTAGGCCAAAGCCCCGAGACGGCCTGCGTGGCTCTGCTTGCTGCGTCCCTGTCCCCCAGCCCTCTGGGCCCGTTCTTTCTGCTCTCGCCCAGACTCGTCCTTGCGCAGACCCCCTCTCTTGCGTTTAGAATAGTCCCCTGCCTCTGTCCCCCCACATACACTCGCTGCCGACCTCCCGTTTTCTCTCCCGCCCTCAGCCTTGCGGTTTGCCCTTCGGGGCTGCCCTTCCCAGCCCCAGCAGTTCTACCCGCAGGCCACGCGCCCGTTCTTCCTGACACCCCAGTTACTGATTTGTGTTGATTTATCAGCCAGACTAGAAGCCCCACAGAAGCAGGCTCGGTCTGTCTTGTTCACTGGTCTGTGCCGGTCCCTGGCAGAGAGGAGGCCCTGTGCAGTGTTTGCTAAGTGGGAGGTGCCAGCAGAGGCATCTCTGAGAGGTAGGAATTGCCCTTTGGCAGGCAGGTCCTGCTCTGATTTTTCAGATTGAAAGAGATAAAATCACGGAGTCACAGACTTGAACTCGGTGGTTTAAGGCAAGGCCTGCCTCTGCCTACTTCGCATTCATGTCCCCAGCAGCGGCACAGGTGGGGATGAGGAGGGCTGGCCTTTTCCTCAAGAACTGGAGAATAGGACTCCCGACTTTCACCGAGGGGACGGAGGATGTTCCGGGCTGTATCCCAGTGCCTGCCATGGAGCAGGAACACTTAGAACTAATAACTAATGATCATGCATCACTGTACATTCAGCGTTCTTCTAAGGGCTTTGCCTAGATTAACTTCACGGGAGTTCGGAAGTTTGGGTAGTATATTTATCCCCATTTTACAGCTGAGGAAACTGAGGAGAACAGGGTTGAGGGAGTGAAATGGCCCACAGCCACATCACCCAGAGGAGGCAGAGCCGAGGTTGGAACCGTCGGCAGAGCCTCTGCTCTTAAACACCTCTGCCTGTTGGCTTTGGGAACTGACCTGTGGAACCTGAGTGTGGGGAGGAGGGGAGCCCGTGAGACGAAACGTGGCTGCATGTGTGGGCTGTTGCTGCAGATGGAAGCGAGTGGACAGGCGGGGCCCACAGCTCCTGGGCGTGCACCCTGGAGACATGGGAGGCCAGGAAACTGGACTCCCAGGTGCGAACCTGCTCCTCTCCGCAGGGCGTATGTTTTCCGGGCCCAGAGCGCTGAAATGAAGGAACGAGGCGGCAACCAGACCAGCGGCATCGACTTCTTCATTACCCAGGAGCGGATTGTTTTCCTGGACACACAGGTGCCTGCCCCCAGCTGCTTCACGGGCCACAGGCCGCAGCCAGCCGGCAGGGAGGGGTTATAAGCTAGAACCCTGAGGGACCCCAGGCCGCTGCTGGGTGTCCTCAGGCAGCGAGTTGTTCTTGGCCCTTAGGCTCTTCCTGGCAGGTTTTGCCTGTGTGCCGTTCATCCTGCGGGATCTTCAGGTGGAGGCCTTTAAAGTGTGGCCTCCGGGGTGCTTCTGTCCACATCCTGCCCTTTAATGCTTCGCAGCTGAGTTACTTGAAGCTTTAACTCCCTTAAATCTCAGTTTTCCATGTGTAAGTAGGGATAAAGGTTGTGCTCAGTCTCCTAGGGGTTTTGAAGCTGCAGTAGAACGGCCCAGGCAAAGTGCTTGGCCGGGCCCTGGCCTGAGGCTCGCCTCGGCTTCTCGCTGACCAGTCCTGCATTTGCCTGCCGCTTTCCTTCTTGCTCTCCTCAGGCAGAGGCCAGGCGCTCAGCCTGCCGCCGTGCTGCCTCCCTCGGTGTGCCGTGCCCCCGGCCCACAGGCCTCCGCCTCTCTCCTCTGGACTGTGCACGTGCTCTTCTCTCTCCCTAAACCACTGATGAACTGTGGGGCCTGGGTCGGCTTGTCTGACATTTCTGTTCCTCAGGTCTCTTATGTGGGGAGAGTAAAATTGCCTACGTACCTCCTGGGGTCTTGTGAAGAGGGGTCCAGGTGAGGGCCTGGCCACAGTGCCCAGCACAATTAGGTGCTAAACACTCTTAGCAGCTAGCATTGTGTTTGGCTTGGCTGCGGCCTCTTGGGCAGCCTGCCCTTTTCTGATGCCCGCCTGCCCCCCCGCGCCTCCCATCGCAGCAGGCTCCTCCGCGTGCGCCCCCAGCTCTCCGCCTGGCAGGCTGTTCTGGGCACAGCACTTCCAGGTGCAGGGCCTGGCCCGTAGCTGGTGGTGTACTTGGAGGACCGGGTTTCTGGTCACTTCTTGTGGACGACACAAGACCATGGGAAGCCTAGAATGCGAGGTGAGCCCTGTGCCAGGCCCAGTGTGGGGACGTGGCTGAGGGCTGGGTCAGACGCCTGGGTCAGACGCGGGGAAAGAAAAGTTAACAGGACGGAGGGCCGTGCCCGCTGTGTCTGGCGTTCACAGTGAGCGGGCACGAGAGCCCTCACCAGGATTCCAGCCCCTGCCGTTTCTCAGTGGAGTGCTCCTTTGAGAGAAGTTCGGTGAGCGCGAGCCGCTCTGTCCACGCACTGACGTAATGTTTAAGTCCTCACCAAGTTTCACACCCGTCGCTGTTTTCTGACCTAAGTAATTAGCACAGCTCTGAAAGCTATGAGACAACAGATGACAAAAGGAGCCTTTAAGGGATCTGACTCATTCAAGGAAATGGTAAATTCATTAGCGCTAGGAGATTTCTCCTCTTCGGGCCTGAGGCGCTGGAGAGCCCTGAGGATTTGTACAAGAGCTAGGGAAAGTGTATTGCTTTGAAATTTTTTTCTTCAGCTTCCTCTCTCTGACTAGCGCTGTACTAATTAGAAGTCACCTGCTTGTGTCCGACCTTATTTTGTCCCTAAGAGGCCGTGTGTTTGCCTTGAATACGTGGCACTTGGGCAGCCCTGGTGGCCCCTTCCCTCACGTTGCCTTCTCTCTCTGGCTGCAGCCCATCCTGAGCCCCTCCATCTTGGACCATCTCATCAACAACGACCGAAAGCTGCCTCCCGAGTACAACCTCCCCCACACCTACGTGGAGATGCAGGTGCGGGAGCCAGGCCCGGCGGGGGGAGGGTTTTGCCTCCCGAGGACTGTGATGGGGAGCTAGACTTGGTCATTGACTGCATTTCCACTGTGGGAGGAGGGTAACCCTGAGAGTCCAGTCCAGCCTGGCTCCTTCAAGCCCCAGAGTCCCGTGCAGAAGGGTGGTGATGCTCCCTGCCTCGCCTCACCCAGGGTGGGCCTGGGATGGAAGGGCGGGCACAGCGCGTGGCACACAGATGCTGCTTGGAGGCGCCAGTGCCCCTGTCCCAGGGCCCCGCAGCCCAGCCTTGGAACCCAGAAGCCCAGTCTGGGCAGGGGAGACGCTCAGCTCTGCGTCCCTTCCTGTCCCCTCAGTCCCTGCAGATCGCTGCCTTCCTCTTCACGGTCTGCCATGTGGTGATTGTCGTGCAGGACTGGTTCACAGACCTCAGTCTGTACAGGTGAGGCGCGCTGGGGAGGGGGGTACTGGCGCAGGGTGACTCGGGTTTCACACAGCAGTCCCTTTGAGATGGAAGTAGCAGGCCCTCAGCCCCACACTCCCTCTGGAAGCCCCATGGAAGCCCCGACTGACTTTGTGGCTGAAGTAGTACCCACGTCTGCCTTTCTTGTGCTCACCTCCCAGCACCCTAGGCCGCCCGGCCCTTGCTTTCCCTGACTCACCGCATTGAAGGTTTAGGGCGCTCATGACTGCAGCTCAGCCGGTTGCATGCTTCACCCCGCTGAAAACACTTTACCTGCAGACCTCCAGCTCCTTCCTTCACGCTGCTCCGGCAGCTCAGGCCTCCCCTGACCGCTCCCAGCCTCCTGTCACTGCCCCTGCACCAGCTGTTCTCCTTCATTGCGTTACCACTCTTTCGGGAGGTGTAAGTTCAGCGGTCTCTCCCTCTTGGAGTGTAAGTCACTGCAGGGAGAGGGGCCGCCAGTGCCTCACGGTATTTGCACAAGCTGCATATGCAGCATGAATTTGTGACCACGTAGCACGAGGAGCTGGCTTGTGCCCCAGACCCACAGCCCTCAGCCTCTCTCCTCTGGATTGTCCACATCGTCTCTCCCTAAGCACTATGAACTGTGGGACCTTGGTCGGATTATTTGACGAGGGGTGTGGTCCATCCGCCCCTCACACAGTGCCATCCCAGTGATACCGTGACAGCCAGAAAAGACAGGTAGTACGGGCCTGGAGGAGCCCTGCCTGGAGCAGCTGTGAGATCCAGAAATGCCCGACAAGACTCACTCAGAATCTGTGGCCACAAGGATCTTTCACCCTCGGCCTTCAGAAGACAGTGGTGGGGGCAGCTTTGGGCCCAGGACCTAGGCAGCGGGGGGGCAGGAGGAGCTCATGGGGAGGGGAAAACTGGGTTAGAAAGCAGGTGTCTCCAAAGCTAGCAGCCCTGGTTTGGAATCCCAGCTCCTGCTGGGTCTTTCCTGAGGGGCAGACTGTTCCAGAGTGCTCTGCACCAAGAAAGCAGTTCATGGCTGGAAGCTTCCTGTTTGCCTTAGTAGCACTGGAAGCAGGGGTGCGCTGTGGGCTGGCCAATTGCAAAAAAGAAAAAAAAAAAAAAAAAAAAAAAACGCTGGGGTTGTTGTGACCAGATCTGGGTGACGTAGTTTTGAAGTATTCCCCAGCTACCATCTGCTGGGATTCATCTCACTTCCCAAATGTGTTGAACATCTACTTACACCTGGCCCTGGGCACACAGGTGTGAGAACAGGCGGGGCGCTGCTCCCGTGGAGCTTAGGTTCGGTGAGGGTGTGGCTTGGTGCACCTGCCACGGGTGGAGTTCTGAGTAGGTAGGCCCTGAAACTGCAGGTAGTCTGTGTGCATGAGGAGAGTGTCCACACACTTTACCAGACCCCGTTGACCCTACCAGGTTCATTTTACTTTTTACATACTTGGAAAGGTTATTTTTAAATAGCATAAACTGAAAGCATGTGCACATAAAAACCTGCAAACCGATATTTATAGCAGCTTTATTCATAATTGCCAAAACTTGGAAGCAAGCAAAACGTCTTTCCGTTGGTGAGTAGATAAAGAAGCTGGTGTATGCCCATGACGGTTTGTTACTCAGCGTGAAAAACAAATGAACTATCAAGCCACGAACCTTAAATGCGTATTACTAAATGAGAGAAGCCAGTTTGAAAAACCCAACGATATGACATTCTGGAAAAAGCTAAACCATGGCGCTGGTACCCAGTGCTGCTAGGATTTGTGGGTGGACAGCGATGAGTCAGCAGAGTGCAGGGATCTTAAGGGCAGTGAACCTACTCTGGTGCTGCAGTGTGTATCCACGTTGTTACACATTTGCCCGAGCCCGCAGAACACACAACACCAAGAGTGACGCCGACATACACTGGACGCAGCTGACGGCGATGTGTCACTTCGCTTCCTCAGTTGTAAGAGACTCGCCACTCTGACGGGGGCGTTGCGAGAGAGGGAAGCCGTGTGCGTAGGGGCAGCAGGTGTCCGGGAATTCTGTACTTTCTGCTTCATTTTGATGTCAACGTATTGTTCTGAAAAACAGTTTTGCTTTTTTTTTTTTGTCTTTTTGAGTCAGGGTCTCGCTATGCAGTTCAGGCTGACCGTGAGCTCACTTTGTAGCCCAGGCTGGCCTCAGCCTCCCGAGTGCTGGGATTACAGGCGTGCGCCACCACGCCTGGCTAGTTTTGCTTTGTTTTGTTTTTTGAGATGGGGTCTGTGTTGTCCAGGCTGAGCTCAACTGATCCTCCGCCCTCAGTCTCCTGGATAACTGGGACTGTAGGTGTGCGCCCTCATGACTGGCTGTTTGGTTTTGTAAATAGGGTAAGCTCAAAAAAAAAAATGTATGGTTGACAAAGGTCCATGGGTCTGGGAGGATTGTCTTTGAACTCCCTAAAACTGTGAGAAGCGTGGTGTCGATGTGACTTCCTGAGCGTGGCTGCAGCTTTCATGAGAATTTCGAGGGGAGCCTGCCCCCAGGCTGTGGGCTGGTAGGTGCAAGTGCAAAAGCCACAGCCTCTCCCCCAACCGCGGCCCCAGGTTCCTCCAGACAGCAGAGATGGTGAAGCCCTCCACGCCGTCCCCCAGCCACGAGTCCAGCAGCTCTTCGGGCTCTGATGAAGGCACCGAGTACTACCCGCACCTGGGTGAGAACTCTCGGGGCTGAGGGAGAACGAAGGGGTGAAAGCCAGGAGCCCTCTGGGGTGGTGGGGAGCCAGGGGAGCAGCTGGGTTTTGAGAGTGGTGAGGCAGGAAATCCCAAAGGATGAGCTGCTACGCCCCCTCCAGTCCCACTGCCTCAGTCCAGCCCTGGCCCCCACACCTGGGCCCGACGCCATGATCAGAATGGGACAGGGGCAGGCCTGCCTGTTTCCGGGCCCTCGGCATCTCCGTGCAGTGCTCAGGACGTGAGTGTGGAGGTCATCCCAGCGGCCCTCGTACCCACTCTCCGGCCTTTGCACCTGTCATTCCCGTGCCTATAACACCCTTCTCCCTGCTGCTGCTTTTCTGCAGAGATCTAGTTCTAATTTTATGACTTACACCCAGGGAGGGTCTCTCCTGCTGCCTCTGCCCTTGCTCCCTGTCATGCTTCTGACCGTGTGTCTGTCCTCATCTGTCATTTTCTATCAGACTGGTGGCTCCCTGAGGGCAGAACCAGATCTGACTTGGCGCTGGCTCCCCACCATTGCTGTGCACACGGCCTGCAGCTGTGCTGCAGTGCATGGGACCGTCACGGTGATCTGAACTCAGGAGTGAAGGCGGGTCCTTGGGGCGAGAAAGAGGAGTCCATGAGACCAAGCACCGCCTGCCTCACGTGGCCTATCCCCTCCCACCCCCAGTCTTCCTGCAGAACAAAGCTCGCCGGGAGGACTTCTGTCCTCGGAAGCTGAGGCAGATGCACCTGATGATTGACCAGCTCATGGCACACTCCCACCTGCGTTACAAGGGTGAGGAGCCCCGAACCTCCTCCAAACTCCTGATGAGGTCCCGTGGCAGAAACCCGGTCCAGGCTCCTGTCCTGGCTCTGCCGTCACCGCCCGCACCCCAGACCTGCAGCGCGGCGCCTGCAGGCTGACACGTTTTCTCCCCCAGGCACTCTGTCCATGTTACAGTGCAACATCTTCCCGGGACTCCCGCCTGACTTCCTGGACTCTGAGGTCAACTTGTTCCTGGTGCCCTTCATGGACAGCGAAGCAGAGAGCGAGAACCCCCCAAGAGCAGGTGCACTTGCCCGTCCGGGGCATCTGGCCGGGGGAGGCAGCCTGCCCTGGGCTGGGAGTGACAGGGACCCATCTGATCTAAGGGAAGGCTGGCCTGCCCCAGTGGGTGCTGGGACGCTTTTTCAGGTGCATTTTTCAGAGTCGTGAAGGTACAGGAAGAGCTGGGCCAAGACTGACGGGGAGGAAGCCCTCTCCTGACACTCTGCCCGTTACCTTGCCCACCCCGACTTTCCAGGGCCCGGTTCCAGCCCGCTGTTCTCCCTGCTGCCCGGGTATCGTGGCCACCCCAGTTTCCAGTCCTTGGTGAGCAAGCTCCGGAGCCAGGTGATGTCCATGGCTCGGCCACAGCTGTCGCACACAATCCTCACTGAGAAGAACTGGTAAGGGCCCTTTGCTGAGGGCGGGTGTGCGGTGTCCTGCCCCGTGCCCCCAGGCACGCAGCGGGGTTCTCGGAGATCGGTAGGATGCCAGCAGCCCCTCCTCTCCGGATCTCAGTTCCTTCCCTAGCAGTGGTGATTGCTGCCATCTTGTAGGTGCCTGGTCCGTGCCAGAGTGCCAGAGTGGCAGCTTGTTTTTTTGTAAATCATCCTGATTAGCCAGTGGGGTTCAGGTCATGTCACAGTTTACTAGTGTGGAAGCTGAGGCTCAGCGACAGGTACCGCGTGGTAGGATCACGTACCTGCAGACAGGTGCCGCTTGGTAGCTAGAAGGAACTGTGAGCCTAGTCAGGCACGAAGATTTACTCTGATGACCTGAGAGGACAACCGTACAGGAGACAGGGACAGGAGCCGCCGGAGCTGCCCTCAGCTTCTACTAGGCCACAGCATCTCCCTGGCTCATGGCCTCCCACCGTGGCCATCCTGCCCTGCCCATTGGCTCCATCCCCTTGGGCTGCACTGCTTCCCCGGCCCCTGGGTCACACGACCTCTGTGCCCAGGGCCCACGGCAAACAGGTCCCAGCTTCATCTTACTGGACGGAGACACATTTGGAAGAGAACTAGCCAACCCTCTCTGGCTTGGTCCTCAGGGTCTCTGCAGTCGGCTCTGGCCAGAGGGGTTGGGGGTGCGGACACAGCAGCCAAAAGCTGCTCACGGCTGGCAGAGTGGAGCTGGAGCCAGGCTGCTGTTCACCCCCGGCTCCGCACCTGCTCCTTAGTTTAAACCAGGGCTGGGTGAGAGGGGAGACTGGGCAAACAGCAGACTGCAGCTGCTGCTAAGGGTTTTGCACTGAGACAGCCTGGAGGGAGGTGTGGAGCCTTCCTCTCGAAGGCCAGCACCAAGGGGGCAGGTCAGACTTGGACGTAGGGCCAGGCAGTCCTCGTCCAAGCCCTCACCTTGAGCTTCGCTGCCCAGGGTAAGGTGCGGGAGGTCAGGACGACTTTGAAGAGGCTCTGGGTCGCATGCTGGGTCCTGCGAGGGGCTCTGGCTTCCTGCCTGCCAGGCTGCCCTCCCTGACCGTTGGCCTCCTCTCCCAGGTTCCACTACGCTGCCCGGATCTGGGATGGGGTGAAAAAGTCCTCTGCCCTGGCGGAGTACAGCCGCCTGCTAGCCTGAGGCCGCGGGGAGAAAAGTCGTACAGGGAACCTCTTGGACCCGCAGTGGACAGCGAGGAAGCGCGCCTGTCCTTCCGCTCGGTGGGCAGAGAGTGGAGCAGGCCCGTGGACGAGGGATCACGACTTCCCCGCCCAGAGACACAAGGTGTTTCAGGCCAGGCCCCCACCCTCAGCTGGGGGCTTGTTCAGGGGTGACTTCAGGAGATCCCACCCCCAGCCTGGCATGAGCAGCCGGTCCTAGACCCCCCCAGGGACAGGCAGTGGGAGCAGTCTGAACGGTCGCCAGGAAGCCCAGGCCACGCCCTGCCTTCCCACGTCAGGGACGGGAGCACCAGGCTGCCCTCCCTGACTCCAGGGCCTTTTCTGTAAGGTGAGGCAGGGGCTGCAGAGCTTTGTATGGGGTGGATGTGGTGGTTTAAATAAACACGGTCATATAAGCCTGCTCTCGCTCTTCCTTCCCCTCCTGCTAACGTGCCGCCCCACCCATTGGAGCCGGATGACCTTCCTTCAGGACATGTCCGGTGTGGGGCACAGAGTTCTTGGGGGCAGATAGGGACCCGTGTCTGCTAAGGAAGAAGCCCCTAAAAAGGGCCGTTCTGCCTCTCATGGGATGAAGCCTCCTTGCTGTGTGTGTGCTTGTGTCTTCTCTCTACAGTGCCTGCCTTTGGTTAAATGCCTACTTCTGCTTTAAAACATAGAACTCGTCCTTAGGTAAATACATACAGTACGTACGCTCGGTTCGCACACCTTCCCGTGCCCGTGCGGACAGTGCCTGCTGTTGGCTCAGTATGGAGGCTCCCTCCCTGTATGAGCCTCTTTGACTCCTGCTTAAAAACAGCAATTTCTGCCTTTAATTTAAATCCAGAGGGCTGGGGGTTTAGCTCAGCAGCACAGCGCCTGCCTGGCAAGCGCAAGGTCATGAGTTCAAGTGCCGGTACTGGAAAAAAAACAAACAAAAAAAGATAAATCCAGAGCCCATCCTCAGCTAAGTGCACTGTACCGTTCCCACAGAACCAGCCCTCATTTGTCCGGTTAACCACGGTAGGTGACCTGCGTTGTTTGCCGGAGCTTGTCTCCACACCCATCTGGCCACCCAAATGACCCTTCCCCCAGCCCACGCCGGCCTCCTGTGTGCACAGCCACTGTGCGCTCAGCCGGCTGAGTCCACTCGGTCCCCCTGCCCCTTTCAGGCACGCCGTCAAGTCCTGGGGTTCGCTTCACGGGATGGTGGGGCCTCTGGAGAGGCACGATGGAGGGGAGTACTGAGGAAAGCGGAGGGGGTCCATGAGGGCTTTTAGAGGGGGCTGAAGTCCGGAAGGTGTGAGACCCAGGGGGCGCCTCAGGCACACACTCGCTGGCCCCGGTTTGTGGCCACTGCCCTTCCGATGGGTGGTGCTATGGGCCCTTCAGGGCCGCGCCGTTGTCTGCCCTGCTAATGGGCACACTTCCAAATCCCTGAGCCACGCCCATCTGTGCAGAAACCCTCCTAAATGCCCTGTAGCCAGGAAAAGGGGCTCCTCCCGTCTTGTCAGGGCCTGTCTCATCCCATCCAGGGCGCTGCTGGCTCGCTAGTTTTGCCAGGGTAGCAAGCAGGGAACAGTGGACAGAGAAAGGTGTAAAACCCAGGCAAAGAAAGGGAGAGCGTACAGGCTCAGCCCAGGGGAGCCCGAGCTGGGCTTTCTTGCTTTCCGAGCCCAGTGCCTGCAGATGATGGAGCTCTGCCCTCCCGGCCGCTTCTGGCTGGCCTGGGCTCCGGCTGCTTATTGATTGGACTCCCTGGGATCTTGTGAGTGCTGAGGAAAGGCCTGAATCAGCGCACTCAGCTTGTCAGCTGCCCTGGCTGGCCAGGTGGAGCCTGTGGCAGGTGGTGTGAGGGGCATACACAGGTGGCCAGAGCACCAGGTGGAAGCAGAGGCACCTCCACCACCAGAGCCTGGGGGACCTTGGTCCGTAGGCCCTGTGCTGCTGCCAGGATTGTGAGCAGGGATGGCTCATCTGCTCGGGCAGCCCGATGAGGGAGCCTGGTTGTGACACTGGCCTTCCAAGGAGTTGGTGCAAGCCACACCCTGTACCCACAGCACGGGGCTCGGGTCGATGCCACAGGCCAGAGTGGCTACCAGCCTGGGTGCTACCACAGGGAGGCCCGCTCTAGCATGCACTGTGAGCTGTGGGGTGTGGCCACTGGAAATGCGGCTTGTGGCTGTGTGTTTCCTCCAGCCAGTGGAAGTCTCCCAGGCCCAGTTCAACCATGGAGAACAGGGAGGTCTTGGTTTCCTTCACACTGTCCACTTGAAGAAACGCACCACTCCGTTTACACTGGTGCACACCACGTTGTCGGACAGCTACCTGGGCTCAGTTCAAGAATATCAGCCCTGGGCGAGCAGGGTGGGCGCACACCTGCACTTGGGAGGCTGAGGCAGGAGGATCACTGTAAGTTCAGGACCAGCCTGAACTACACAGTGAGACCTTGTCTAGGTGAGGAGACGGGAAGAGAATGTCAGCACCAGAGCCTGACTGCTTCCTTTGGTTCCCAGCTTTGCTGTTATGTGGCCCCTGGCAAGTTACCAAGCCTGTTTGGGCTTCTGTTTTCCTACCCATAAAACAGATGTGGCAAGTGTGCCGCTGCTGGATCTGCATTGGGCACGCAGCATCTGCTCTACTCGACTTCGCAAATACCTGAGGCAGTCCTTGCCCTTTTCCCCCAGTGCAACCGATTCCTCCATCATCAGTGGATGCTCCAGGCCACGGTGAGCACTGTCACAGCGGAGCCTCCTTCAGTCACACACTGTGGCCTCCACCGAGCCCCTTTCCTACCCTGGGCCCCATTGGGAGGTAGGGAGAAGGGATGGGAATCCTTCAAGAATGCGCCCATCCAGCCTCCAGGGCATGCCCACGGCCACCAGGGGCGGACAGACGTGCTCTTCCTCTGAGAAGGGGCTTCGTGGTGGCACAGTCCACCCTGGTGGCTAATTGACTAATTGTCAACTGAGTGGGGAACGCCCAGCTGAATTAGTCTGCATGGTTCTGGGCCCGGAAGACCCACTTAGGAGGCTCGTTGTCGGAACAGCGTAAAAGGAGGATGGGAGGGAGGATTTCAGCTGATCTTGGAGGAGCTTTTTTGTGACTGCTTTTCTTCAGAGAAGTTTCGGCTGTTTTTCTTCTAAGGAGCTTTGACTGTTATCTTTCTGTGGGAGAGCTCTGATCCTCATCTTCATCTTGGGCATTGCTTCCTGGCTTCCTGTGCAGATCCCTCAGCCTCCCAGTACAGATCCTTCAGCTTCCAGCACTGGCCCTCGGGCCTTTCCGTGCAGACCCTTTGGTCTCCCACTGCAAATCCTTCGGCCTCCTGACACGGACTTGCGTGGGACGTTGCCGTGGGCTCCAGGCCCTGAACTGAATCCTTTGGGTCTCCAGCGCGCAGGCAGACGTTCCGCACTCTTCTACATCTGCCTCGAGTAAGCACTGACTAATACACGTCTACCCTGAAGGGTGAAGTCCGAGCTACTGCCCTGCTGCAGGGTTTCACTGACCACTGGGCTGGGTGGTGGTGAGATGCTGCGGTGTGAGGATGAGGAAGTCATCCAGCAGCACCAGCCCCGGGATGGTCAGGCCAGAAGGTGGGTGTGCCTGCACCCAGAAGGCCCTAGAAAGCGCTCTTGGGATTCCTGGGGGGCAGGTGCAGGGTAGCGTCCAGTCATGTCCCCCCACTCCTGTTAGTGGAGCTGGGGTCTTGTCTCCCAGCCCCTGGGTGGTGGGGTCAGCTTGCCCGAGCAGTCTCAGCCAGCATCCAGACCCAGCCTGCCTCCAGCGGATAAAGTGTGGCCCGCACCCTGGCAGCTCCCAGGGCAGATCCCCTGCCTTGCTGCCTCCTTCAGTGCCCTGACCTCCAGCAGCAGCAGCGGCAGCAACAGCAGCAGCAGCATCTTGAGCTGGAAGAGGCTTGGCTGGGCTTTGCTTCCCATTGGCCGCCTGACCCCGGTCCTCAGTCTGCAGAACTTGACAACCTTTTTCAGACAGGTGAGGGAGTACATTTTCTCAGAGTTGCCCTTCAGATTCCTTTGTGTGCCTGTGACCTGTTTCTTTAATGACAGTGTTGCTGCCCCAGCATCCATTCTTAGGCCTGACATAAGGTGTTTGAAACCTAGTTGAAACTTGTCATCTTAGCCGGGCGTGGTGGTGCACACCTGTAATCCCAGCCTTCAGGAGGCTGAGGCAGGAGGGTCATTTCGAGTTCGAGACCAGCCGAGGCTACAAAGTGAGCTCAAGTCCAGCCTGAACTGCATACGGAGACCCTGTCTCAAAAAGACCAAAAAAAAAACTTGTCACCTTGGCCTAGGTAAAACTCCCTCCCCCCCCCCACGGCAGGTTGCGGTGGAGCCCACCTGCTCCTCCTCTCCATGGCCCAGAATCCAGCAAACCCACAGCAGCTGACTGTGGTGAAACCTAATGGTCACTAAGTTCCCCACTTTGAGCAGGCTTCAGCTCGTCCACAGCACCCTTAGAATAATACCAGTGGACCTTAATGAGAGCATAGTCCCCGCCCCCCAAATTAATCCGTAAAAGTAGAAGTCACGGCAACACCCATAGTATTTAAATCATCACCTGCAGCGGTACCGAGAGCAACAGTGTGGGGGGCTGAGCTGCTTCCTTGTGGTTAACAGCTATTCATCACTGCAGTACCCCTGGCCTCGAAGCAGCCTGGGGAAGGGGTTTCTCAGACCCACTGTTTGGCACTGAGAGGACGAGTGACACCCGGGGGGCCAGCTGGTGCACAGGATGTTGGGAATGGGACCCAGGTCTTCTGATCCTAGAATTCAAATTCTTAAATGGCTTTTTGGGGGAGGGGTATTTATCAGGCCCAAGCACTGTAACCAACATACAGCAGTGCTGAAAATCTGGGACCTTCATCACTGCAGACAGTCATAGTTAACTGTCATTCCTCCTGGGCCACATATTTCACTAAGTCCCATTTCGCAGAGCAAGAAACTGAGGCCCAGGAAGGCAAAAATGACTTGTTAAATATCTACTCTGGAGCCAGGGTGCAGACCAGCTCTTAGATCCTTTCACCGTAAGAAACCTCTAGACCATTACACAGTGAATACCCGCTGTGGGCCCAGACCTCTGTGTACTGCAGTCCCAGCTCTGAAGGAAAACAGGAAACCTTGCCCACCCCCGTGGCCTGGCCCCTGCTCAGGAGCTGTGGTACACAGCTAGGCTGGCCTTGTCCCCCGCAGGGCCCTGGTGGCCCCACTGTGTGTGATGGACAGCGCTGGCAAGTGCAGACTTCCTGGGACTGCTCTGGGCAAGTTGCTGCTGCAGACTTTATCTCCCTCTTTGCAAGGGGGTGCTCCAGATGGCGATGTCGGCTTCCTCATCTGCGAGTTGGAGCGCGGACTCCTCAGAGCAGCCGCAAGACCCAGCTTTGCTGTGCAGAGGT